CGGTCCCAGAGAATTGCGTAAACAAATTGTTATAATATAGCAGATGCGCGGGCTTGAACCAGACTCGGAGCTGAATAACTTGTGTGACAGCAGTGAAACTGTGAAATGATACAGAACTCAAAGGCTTATATAGTAAAACTACAGATGTTCTAGAATGTTCTAGCAGAGACTATTGTAGTGTGCACATGATTGGCCGGATGTTATGAGGTTTCTAAGGTGTATTCTTCAACCTGAAAATTACATTGTTTTCAACACTCCCACTTAATTTAAAGGTTGAGAAACTGTAGGTAGTGATTCAGTTCCCATTGACAGACGAAGAGTCTCAAATCGTCCACGAGGGAGTGGTTTTGTAAGTAGGTCGGCAATCATCTCTTCAGTCGGACAGTAGTGTAGACTATAATGATATCTTGTTCCACAGCTTCACGCACGTAATGGTACCGAATATCAATGTGCTTTGTTCTGGCGTGTGAAACGGATTCTTGGCCATTGCAATTGCTCCTTGATTATCTTCCATGACCATTATTGGCTCATTAAAGTTTGCTTTGAGATCATTGAACAATCGTCTCATCCAAACTGCTTCTTGAGTGGCTTTGCTGAGAGCTACATACTCTGCTACCGAGGTTGAGAGAGATACCATAGGTTATTTTTGCTTAGCCAGCTAACAGGGTTCCCAGACATAAGAAACAGATTTCCTGTTGTGGAGTGACGATCGTCCTGATCACCCGCCCAATCAGCGTCCGAATATCCAATCAGAACAGCATCTTCTTTTCTTTCGTACTTCAGGGCAAGATCTACTGTTCGGCTTTTTCTACTGTCTATCGCAGTGTAAGTCGGCCTTTCAAGCAGTATGTGGAGACCTAAAAGGGGCTAGGAAACACTCAAGAAAGATTCTTAAAAACCTGCCCAGTCGTTTCGCAGGGAACGTCCGCAGTTCAGGCGCTGATGGGTGACACTGAAGGCGCCAGGGAGACGCAACTTGAGTTTGTCGGATTTTTAAATGACTCTGCTGACTCCATCCCAGTTGTCGGCCATGTCAAAGGTGGAATCCATTACGTCTGCGGGGATACGGAGGGAGGAGACAAGGCCATGAAAAGCTCGTCGAGAACTGCCGGCGTCATTGGAGGAGGTGTGGTAGGGTTCGTTGTCGGCGGTCCTCCCGGAGCCGCCGTTGGCGGAGCTGCCGGAGGCTTGCTCGTGGATGGCCTAACCACGGGTATCGACTCTGCCGTACACGAGGAGTTTCGCCCAGCAGGCACGGTGGCCGCTGTCAATACCTTAGTTGAAGGCAAGTCAAAATCTGTTTCTGGAGACATCTTTGATGTCGTGGTGGGGACTGTAATGGATGGAATGACTGGGATTGCTGCAGGCGAGCAAGTCGGGAGAATGTCAAAGGTTAAAGTAAAGGGAGAAGCAAACAATGTTCCTGCCAATAAGCAAGTACACGTAGACGGAGCAATGGACAAAGTGAAACATCTTACAGGCGATGAAGTAAGAAATTTAAAGAAGGATGGACACACCCATGCGCAAGCAAAGCAGAAAGTCACTGGGGGATCCTCGAAACTGACCAAGGCTCAAAAGAAGCAAGTAAAGCAGTTGAATCGCAACCGTACGAAGCTAACAGATCACAACATTCACGGGCTTATAGAGGACCGCCAAGGACAGATTGCAGTCGATTTGAAACCAGAAAGCAACACTGGAAGGGGTGCTGAAAGAATTATCATGGAGGATCCAAAACGAAACTATACACTGAATGTGGTCGAGTATCTTGATGATCATAAGTATGGGGTAGTAGACCCAGGGCCTGGGCCTTCCTGTGTCCAACGAGCAGCTAACTTTGTTGCAGACCATCAAGCAGTTTATGGTGCAGCTGCAGGAGTCTATCCTGCTGCGGCAGGACCTAAAGGAGTCGCCAAGTTTGATTTCTTGGTCATTGGAGCTAGTGCTGGTGGAATTGCCTGTGCAAACAGAGCTGCTGAACTTGGGAAGAGAGTTGCTATAGTGGGAACAGCAGACAAGGAGAGCGTAAGTGTGATGAGATAATCTCCACGCACAGATAATGTGTGTTGCAATGCCCAGACAGGACAGGATGATAAGGCCTCATGCTGTCCTGTCTGGGTACTGCAACAGATTTGTTGGATATCCCTAGGGAAGTAAACCCTTTGCATTTGCATGCAGGATTGTACAGGCTGATAACATTCTCCAGTACTTTTCTTCATACGTCATGTCGGTTGCCTAGGGATATGCAACAAATGTACAGATCAAGAGGGGTGCATGGGAAGGTATAGACTATGGAGTGTATCAGTCTATGGTATATAGCTGTACTGGGGCTGTATATAAGCCACTAGTGTATGACACTTAGTTTTTGCCTTGTCATCCATGTTAACCCTATACAAGCCCTTATACAACGCTTGTGGTTCAGTCGTTTTGTACGCGGATCACATGAGATTTCACCCGTGCCATCCCTTAGTCTACCGACTCTCTAATACTTAGTTTTTGCCCTGTCATCAATGGGCCCTTTTCAAGCCCTTATACAGCGCTTGTGGTTTAGAGAACCACTAAGAGCTATAGTATAATTAGCCCACAATTAATTTTTAAGCCATTAATTTGTGCACCATTTACAACAGGTGGCTTAGTTTATATCTATAGGGCTGAGTCCTCATCCCATATTATATACCTCATCGTGCCAGTAGCACCAACTGAGTATTTTGTGTGATATGCCCGTCAACTGATAATCTATTATGCAGGATGTGCACAGTGATGTGCACTACTACCATGGGGAGACCATGTTTGTTGGACCAAGAAGGCTCTCTGTTGGCTCCCACCTCCTGGAGGCTGAGCTCATCCTGCTGGCCTGTGACACTAAGCCTGATGACATTGGCTTGAAATGGACGGTAAATTGAGTTGCAGCACTCTTTTACTTACATAGTAGTTTCATGTATTCAAATCTGGTAACTTTAACTTATGTGTACAAATTGCATAGGGCGAGGTGGGTAATAGTGATGGCTATGTTAATGGAACTCTGACTACAGGAGTTTGAGCACTCTCTTGTTACCTAATAGTATTCAGGCTTGTACAGATATTCAGTGGTGTGCGTGCTCTGTACAAATCGCCTAGGGTGTGGAGTGTGACAGTGATGGCTATGTTAATGTCAACTCAGACTACAAGACCAGCATGCCCCATGTGTATGCTCTGGGAGGAGTCACAGGCAAGACAATGGCTCAAGAAGGTATGAACTACTATACTACAGTCTTGCATACAGACTCCCGAGAAAAACGCGGTCTAGGAACTCTTGCACTGCTGGATTTTGATAATACATACGTCATTGTTAACCACATGTGCAATATTTTAGCCTCTCGCTTATTCTATATACCTATTCCGATATGTGCAGTTACGACTAGAACGATGGCGCGCGAGACTGTAACATATCCATGACAGCAAGATGATTAAGGAGCACAGTACTTACTGAATGTTTCAGGCGTACTTTTACTTACAGTTTATGAGAGCCAAGAGCATTTTATTGAGCATCCATCACTGACCTATCGTGTTACACTACTTTATACCGCTGAAATTGAATGTACCACTAGTAGCACTTTTATGTAACTGAGCCTCAGGAGCACACAATACACGCCGAGGCTTGTCAAATGCGTTGATTGAGGCGTGCATTAGTGATGTGTCGTAGAAACATAACTGAGTGTGTAAACGTTTTTTACATGCTTGTACAAGAGTCCCTGACAGCCTCAGGCAAGGTCTGAAGAGTACTAAGATAGACTGGTGTTTGCCTAGTATCAAAATATCTGTGCCTCTAGCTCGACAAACCTCAACTTGCTGTAGTGTAAAAATGAGCCTAAACCCCATTTAGACTGGGAGCCTCAACATGCATTCAGTTCGTTTGCTGAATCTCTCGGCTCATTAGCTCCCAAGCATCAGTGTTTGAAAGCAGTTCTCGGGTCCCATGTTAGCTAATAAGAGACATTAATATTCGAATATACCACATCTATATACTTTTGCATATATATTCACTGTAATGTAGCTATATCATTTTCCTTGAGGTCTAGATTTAGCCCCACTCACTTTGATGAGCTTCTGTCACAGTGTGGTGAAGCAAGCCCTGTTAGAAGTCATTGTTTATCCACAGATGCTGCTATTGCTGGTGTGAAGCTGGCTGAGAGACTTTTCCAAGGATAGTCTGTACAGGTTTTAGCAAAGACTTTGCTTATGCCTACAACCTATGTATAATTATACTGGACTATTAGTTCGTGAAATAAATCATTTATCACAGCATAAGTACATCCTTTATGTATCGAGCATAAGCCTTAGTATAAAATAATAGCGAAAATGCAAATCTAAAATGTCTAAAGGGACTGCAATAATTCACTGAAAGAGTTTCAGTTATTAGTGACATCTCTAATGGGCTGATGAGTAGCTAATAATTATAATACTTAAGGAGCAAGAGAGAGGCAGGTTGTATATTTAAGTTAGAGTAACTATTAGAGGCGAGCATGAGTATGTCGAGTTCCTCGACTCCGCATCTGACCTATATGTAGATGATGTACGTGATCTTGTCATTTTCATGTGAAACTTTTACGGAGCGTCCCAGGTATACTTCGGGAAATCAAGTACCTCGTGTGAACCAATCAGATTGCTCGATTTAATATTCTAATGTACAAGGTCTAAACAATCCGAGTAACTATAAATCACGGCTGTTTCAAAATTGAAGGCATTCTGTTACTGGGTGCATAACATCGTACTTGTTTGTAAACATTTTTGTCAACTGTTCTGTCGTGATATCAAAAGCAGTAGGCCTGCGCACAAATCATTTTACTAACCTAGAGTGACATTATGTGGATATTCCTCTAGCATCACATCCATAGACTCCTTGTTTGCCAAGTTCTTCCAATAGCTGTGTGTTAAAAAGGTCTCAGACTGTCCGTGAGAGGGTCTAGCAACTTTTTTCTTAGGCATGTCTGATGTAAGGGGCACAGTGCCTTCAGCTGTGCAGGACTCCTATTACATCGTGAACAGGCGACTCTCCGAAA